TCCACCACACAAGGCAGAAAAGTGCCCATGGCACTTGGAGCCCCTGAGAGACCGGAATATGATCATGTCCCATTGATATACTTTCTTTGTTTTGTTCTGTCGATCGTGGGACCTGAACTCTAGGCCTGGGCGCTATCCCTCAGCTCCGCAGCTCAAGGTGAGCACTCTACCATTGGAACCACAGCACCACTTCCAGTCTTTTCTGCTTATGTGGTGTTGAGGAATCAAACGCAGAGCCTCATGCATGCAGGGCAAGCTCTCTACCACTGATCTACCTGCCCAGCCCATCTTAAGTTTTCTTACACAGATCCACCTCGTATAATTCCTTAGTATGGTGCTCCCCCACTTGAAGACCTTTACAATTGTATTTCGTAAATGCTTCCTGAAAAAAAAAATGGGTAGTAGAGGCTTACATCCCTATGTAACATGACATTGTTCAAAAAAAATTAATTACACTTGCAGTTGTGAAGAACTGCAATGTTACATTCTACTCTCTACTGACAAGGTACACAAGTAGTCAGAAGATGCAACATTACCAACTCAGAAACAAGTGGACAAAAATTTCTCTTGTTATGTAAACTATCATCCCTACGAAGAACTGCTTCCCACCAAGAACCTTGTTAATATTATAGCCAGCACATATAAAAAATGAGTATTTGACCAGATAACACGTAATCACCCTGAGAACTCACAAGATGAAGCTGCAACACACATCGAGAACTCAGCTGCCTTTGAAAAATAAATGGACTGCTTTTCTTTTTTCAGATTTTTTTTCAGTATTTTGTACAACTTGGATACAACTAAAGTACCTATCAGAAAGTGCTAAGACATGTAATTAGTTTTCTTATTTTGTACTTTCCATTTTCCCTTACCATTTTATAAAAATCTTAGTCTGTATTGCTTTTGTTATTGTACAACTTCAGGTTTTGCCTGGCTCCTTGTTCCTTGCATTGGGAGGACTTCGATTCCCAAATCTTCACTATGCTCATTAACATTATTTGGGGTATGCTGCAGTTCTGCTCATACATACATGCCTATTTCTTCCAGAAACGTGTTTCTGCATATGAGGGTCTGGCATGACCTAGGATGGGGATCCTTGACTGGTGGTCCTGGTAAGTACAATGAATGAAGGCAGAGGGATCTCCCTGCAGCTCCCAATTCTAGTGTCTTCTCAATGTTAATACACAAATTTGTCTTGGCATCCAGGGGTTTGTGAGGTCCAAAGCCCCAGGCAACCCCAGGCAGACAGGAGGTGAAGAGGCTACTAAGAATAGAGAGAGATCCTCCTCCCCACTTACTAAGAGGTACAAGAAATATAAAAGGATCTGGGGACAATGTTAATGTTCTTTCAGAGTAGAAAGAACATAGAATCCATGAACTAAAGGACACAAGAGCTGACTCTGTTTTTAATCCTTTGTCACACTCACCCTTAACTTGAAGCCTGTGACTAGGACTAGGCTTTACAGTGTGCCCAGGAACCACAAAGGTACCTCACAAGAGGCCACATCAAGCCCCCACCGACTCCTCCCTCTACCATTGTGTAAGACTCAAGAATGAAAAAGTATGCCCTGTGGAGAACATGTATGTCATGGAGACTAATGTGAGGAAAGTATCTTTGTATCTATTCTTGCACTGTGAGGATGTTTGTGTGTGTGTATGTGTTCAGTGTTGTGTTTTGTGTTCCTCATGTGGGTTGTTAGGTGAACTTACTCTAAAGTTTCCATGACTGTCTCTACCACTAGCTCCCACCACATTTTGGAAGGTGGGTGGGGCCATGAGTACTGGCCTTGTCCTGGGATTTTCATTGGATGTACCCAAGTTGATGCAGTACAGTCCCTTGGCCATGAGGTCTAGCACTACACAGACATTTGCTGTCTAACCACAAGAGACTACCATTACAATGGTCCTTTGTTGAGGTGTCTGTGGAGGCAGGGGGACTGCACTAGGACCTCACAGCAGCTGGTGGTCCAGCTTGTAGAGCCACAGATCTGTGGGGACCCTAGAGCAACTGGAAGCTATAACTAGATGCAGGAAGTATAAACTGAGTATGGAGAAAACCTGATGCCAGCAGAAAACTGAGTTGTGTGTTTGCCTTATCTTGTGTCTACTCAGACACAGGATTTGTGACATTCCACAGTGATCCTGTCACAAGATAGGATGAGTGCCTGTGTGTACTTACCTTACTGCTTCCTGATACCCTTTGGAATATGCTCTTTGATTTTTTTTTAACCCAAACGTCACTAATGTACTTTCTGACCCATTACAAGCAGAGGATGGAAGAGATTCTGAAGTTTAATCAAGCCTGTCAATTGAAGTCATTCTTCGCCTCTCATGTTTATTTATATGGATATTGTTGCATGAATGCACGAAACCAGCATAGGTCCATGGATATGACCAGAGCGTTCTTCAGATTATAGTTGTGGGTGAAAAAAAATGCCCCACACTGCTGGCCACTGCTGGTTAAGGTCTCTTGCCTGTGCTTGTACCTTGAGCTCATCTGGTTGGGTGGACCTTGCAAAGGTTATACTTATATGGCTTCTCTCCCATATCTGTGTAGCTGTTTAATGATGCCCTGAATAACCTTGAAGATGGGGCACTTATGAAAGGCCTTGGTTCAGAACTCTCCTTTATATATCCAGGGCAGGTACATGTTACCTTCTATGAACCACTAACATAATTCAAGGTTAGTCCCTGACATCCAAGCATGACTCTTCATTACTGTGACCTAATAATAAGGCCTCTTCAAGATCCACTGATGATACCATATGCTGCAACTATTGGTTGATTGGCAGCAAAATCACAATGAGCAAGTCTTCATACTTGTCCCTGACCAGTAAGAAGCCTGGCATGTTGCCTGGCTTAGCGGGTGTCTCAGAAAATGAGGTTACCAGTTTCTCCCTGGCCTAGCCTAACTGGCTGTCATCATATCACTACTACATGCTCAGTACGCAGGGCATGGAACTACAAGGTCAATGTTTGCCATGATGGAGTTTAGTCGTATTTGCTATCCTCTTCTTTCTCCCTTTTGGAATGGGAACATTTACCCGATTTCTATGGTGGAGGTATGTAACTTGCTTTTGACTTTGCAGTCTCACAGCCAGGAGTTCACCTTGAATCTCAAGACTTTCAACTTGGGCTTTTTAAATGAGGTTAGAACTGTAAATACTGTGGGGACTCTAAGACAGGCCAAATAAATTCTGTATCATGACATAAACATAAACTTGTGGTGAGCCATGGATGAAATGTTATGGTTGAAAAAAATTGGGGGCAAAGAAAGTGGCTCAGTGATAGAGTGCTTGTCTTGCAAGAATCCTTACATTCAATTCCTCAGCACACAAAAGCAGAAAAAGCCGGAAGTGGGCTATGGCTCACATGGTAGAGCGCTAGCCTTGAGCTAAAGAGCTGAGGGACAGCAACCAGGCCCAGAGTTCAGGCCCCATGATAGACAAAAACAAAAAAAAAGGTGTGGGTGTGAAGGACAAAGAGTTGACTGATGATGGTTAATTCTGGGAGTTAACATGACTGGATTGAGAAGTACCTAGGAAATTAGTGAAAGACCTGTGGGTGTATCAGTGAGATATTAGAGAGGCCTAGGGGAAAAAGTCCCATCTCCAATGTAAGCTCCAACATCCCATAGGGTGGGGCTGTCTAGATGGAAAAGGGTTAAAGTGAGCTTCATGGAACTCACTCATGTGAGTTCCATGCCCTGAGCATTCTTTCTCTGCTTCTTTGCTGCCATGATGTAACCTGCTTTGCTTTGCCACACTCACATGACAGACAAACTTCTGAAATTGGGACTTAAAATAACTTGTTCCAACATTTATTCCTCTCAAGTATTTTTCATGGCAACAAAAAGTCAACTAAAATTGGATATAGGAAATTAGGAAGCTGGAGATCTTTAAACATTCAATTTTGAGGCTTAGTGTTTAATTATAAGCAAAGGAAATTTTTCAAGCCTTTTTTTCAGTCTTCTCACAAACATAAAACTCCTTAACAAAAAGGATTTTCTTAGGTTTTTGGAAAGTTCTGAGATAAAACCTCTCAACCATCCTTTAAGAAAGTTCCAGGAAAACATACTGAGTAAGAGATGCTCAATTTAAATCCTGGCTCCTGCTGAGCAATCATGACTAGCACCTGGTAATGGCTATTTAAGAATTAGGGGTCAAAATAACAGTGCTTATCAGAGGCATCCAAATTTCATAAGGGAATCATGACATTTATGATCATTTAACAGGTAGTGGTTCAATAGGCATCACACCAGTATACTGAGTCCAAAAGACACTATACTACAAACCACTAGGAGTTCAATGTCTTTGAATGAGCCAAGGTGAGTGTCAAGTTGGCTGCCACCCATTTGCTGTTCACTGGTGAAAACTGTGAAATTACCTACTGTTGAACTGTGTTCAGCTAGACAAAACCAACAGCACAAAACCAAACAAGTGTTGGTGTGAAAACCCTGAACATCTGAAAACACAAGGCATTTTTCTGAAAGACAAAAATGAAAATGATGAAAAAGCACATTCATGTAGGAGACTTCCTTGAATTATTCCAGATTCTAACAACGGATGAACTATGAAAATGTTATGTCTCAATCTTTATGTACTCTTTTCAAAATTATAGGCTGTGCTAGACTTTCCTGAAGTGACCATAACAACCAATTCCCATACTCTATAAATTCTATTACTGAGAGGTGGACATCACAAGTTCACAAGTTCCTTGAACTTAAGGAATTTCTGATCCTTCTGCCTCCCCTTCCCAAAAAATTGGGATTGGTGTGCACAACCATGTCCAGTAATATTCTGTTTAATACAGTTTCGGTTTAGTGGCATCCTATGGACTGACATTTTCTTAGAATACAGAGAATTTTCAAATGTGTTCACTTGCCTTTTAATCCATTTGTAACCTCATATTTGCTTTGCATGACAAATATCATCCCCCACATATATATCATTTTTGTCATTATAGAAATTCAAAACCGGGAGTAAACGTGTCAGACTAAGTTTTTGTGTTTTCATAAGTGCAACTTTTTAATAAAAATTTACATCTAGATAAACAATCTTCAGATTTTTGAAACTTTAATAAGATTTTAAAAACATCATGACTTTGAACTGAAAAACATACACATTTGCACACAAATATTGTAATATGAATCAACTCCAACTCCATTTGAAAACATGTGAATCAAATTACAGTTTTAGAAGTTAGTAATTCACATTTAAGCAAGTTAGCGCCTTGCTGAATCCAGCCTTTGTAAAAAAGAGACTTAGTGCATATTGTAATGGTACACTGTAGTTTTGTACCACATTGTTGGTTTTTTCACTTTATTATTAAACAAAATTAAGTTCTCGAAAGTTGGTAGATAATGTTGGTAGATTAACGGCTAACTTCCTATATGTGAAATTTCCAATGGTAACAGTTACATTTTGTAACAGAATGCAACTCAGAGATTTCTTCTTTTCCTATCTTAAAATTTAAAAAGCAATCATTGTAAGGATTGCATCAACATCAATTTAGCAGAGGAAGATCAAACTTTATTAAAACTGCTTGCATACAAAATATATTGCACTATAACCAAACAAATGTCAACATAAAATCCAATCTGTTGTCGCTAGTATGTACAGAGAATATTGCCCAAGAGCAGTTACATTACAAGGTCATTCTACCTTGGTTAATTATCTACAGTATTTTAAAACCGAACAGCTTACAGATGATGCTGTGTGCAAGGTACCAATTTCTGTTTTCAAATACTATACATTCCCAGAATAAATAACTAGAAATCAACATTAATGTTTGGCAATACTTTTTAAATGACTTTTTAATATTTGTGAAATCATGTGCAGTTTGTTGCCTTTTTATATGCCTATTTGTATGCAAGGAAAAGTAACTGTAAAATGAAAATGAAAAAAAAAAAAAACAAACTCACAAAATACCGAACTTCAGTTTGTACGGCTCTGTACAGATTCGGTGGTACCCCTACATGGAGTTATTTTTTAAGAAAAATATAACATCTTAGGAGTGAAGGTCTTTCACATATTTTTCCTCAGTAATTTTTTTTTCATTAAAAAAAAAGCTCAAAACCAAAATCAAAATCACATCAAAACTAAAAAATAGGGGAAAAAAAGTATTACTGTTAATTGAGCCTAGTATGCTTTTCAATTCTGCGTATACATTAGACTTTATATTTAAAAGTTAACAAAACATTTAACCTGCTTCCAATGTTTCTTAGACAAAGTACCTGTACTTCACAGGGTTATTATGTATACATGAAAACAACTTTCCTATCTCCCCAAAATAAGCTTGATTTTAAACTAGGAAAAACTTCACAAAATTTGGGGAGGACAAAATAAAAAAGGTTCTAAGTTAAAATTGGTCATCAGGCCAAAGAGCAGGCATATCCCACTAACTTTCAACCAGGAAGATTTGTTCCTAGCTGAAGACATGTTAGCCTCTCTCAAATGAAAAGAGTTATTTCTTCTCCTGTCTATACAGAAAAATTTCACATCCCTTTCAGTAACACTATTTGTCAAACTTCAGTGCAACAAAACATAAACAGAAAAACAAGTCCTATTCTTTACTGCCTAACCTGATGTTTATGTAAGGAAAAAAATATGGAGAGCATGCATTCTATAAAGTTCTAATGTTCGACAGGGTTTGCTACATCTTTAACATTTAGTGTTTCCAACTTATCTTCCCTGAACTCTGCATCCAAATATAATATTCCTACCTGCCAAGATATAAAAAAGGCACAGATCATACAACTTTTTTTTTGCTAATGAAAATGACAAATGTCACATCACACACATTTCAGGGTCCACTAAAATAATGGAAAAGTGGACCAAAACATAAACTGACACAGGACATGAAATGACACGCATTTCATGGAGACTTCTATATGAGATTGAAAACAGAAGTCTAGTATGATTCCTATAAATGCTATTTTTTGAGAAAAACTAAAACATCCTGATGAGTTATTACCCAATGCAGGAAAAATGGTCCAAATGAATAAAGGACATCACTGCTCAGTACTTTGAAAAGTATAATTAAAATCCTGCCCTGAAGTACTAAGTATACTTAAAAGCAATGCTTTAATTTCATCATTTTGTGCAAGTTTGAGAGATTGTTGCTTATGGCCAATATCAAAAAATAACTTCTTAGCAGAATTTGTGTTCATTTCATGCCCTGTGCCATCTTGCCTACTATTTGTCTTTGGCCTAACAAAGTTTTCTAATATGGAATAAGAATTACGGAAATGGTATAGGAAATATAACTTCAGAATTATGCAGTTTAGGGTACTCCATTCACTAGTGGTTGCTGACCATCCACACTGTCGGGCTTGTCCTTCTTCTGGTTTCGATCTTTACCCGGGCGCAGCCGATTACCTTCACTGGAGGCATTCTGTAAATGTTTTAATATGGATACTCATTATTGCATTCAAATCTGATCACACCAGATCTTACATGTAAATGGTAAATGGCCTGAGAAGAAATACAAGCTTGTCATGTATCCTTTGCATAAAAAAAGGAGAAATGGAATTGAGAATAGAATGGAGGAAATTGAGGTAATATAGGCTCTGTATTTGGTTTACAAGTTTAAGACTTTTTGAACTGAAACACATTGGTCATCTTACTGCATTCAAAGTTAGAGAAAACCTGGCAATCCTACAGTGTCTTTTAAGCAGAATAAGAGTGAAAAATAAACAGTTAAAATGAATTACTTTCATAGGTAACTATATAGGCTTTATAGCATGTATATACATGTGTGTAGCTATTTACATATATGCAATACATACTTATACATACTTATATAAATAATATGTATATATGTAACACTATCTCAGCTAACACTGTTCTTTAAAAACAGTGATTTATTCATTTTTTAAAACTATCTCTAGATACAAGAGGAGACACACAAAATATTTTGGCTTTACCTGGATGAAGACTCAAACTCATCTATGAGTTTGCCTTCATTTTACACCTTCATATTTATCATAGGCATAACTAATTTTGCATTCCAGTAGCTTGTACTTCAATAAGGTATTTAAGATGAGCCTATAACTTAAAAGCCTGGAGAAAAGATGGCATGGCAAAATTGGCAGTCAATAATTTGTAGATGAGCTAGAACCCTAAGAAAGCCTAAGGATTATTGTAATTTAAACAAAGAATATTCTAAGTGTTACTTAACATATTTTAAGCACCTATGGTCACACTATTAACAGAATTCTGTAAGGAAGATACTGACCAATGGACCTAAGAGTGTAATAATTAAAAATATGGATTTGCTTCAGGTATGTTTCAAAATCTTGCTGTCAAGGATTCAGCAATATGTTAATTTCTATGTTCATATTTTCAAGATAAACATAGTATTTTCATTCACTATTCTAACAAATATCATTGTGGTCATTCTGCCAAATTCCTGGTATTATGTCACTGAGATTTCAAAACTGGTACAGAAATACTTTATTTGTTTTACGTGATACACATTGCCAATATTTTCATTTTGGTCTAACTCCTTTTCAGCCCTTAAGATACTGCCAAAAGTTAATACTGAGAGCTGCTATAAATTTTGAAGAATATTCTATAACTTATCTTTTGTCTTAAAAAAATCTTTTTCTCATTAATATCAGGGCTACTTCCATGAGCCACCTTCCCAGCCCTTGTTTTTTTGTTTTTTTGTTTTTTTTTTTTGGGGGGGGGGGGGGTCTGGTCGTGGGGCCTGAATCAGAGCTACTTCCAAACCAAGCCCCATTCAGAAAGGATCTCTTAGCTACTCTGGTTAAAAGAATTAAGAGCTAAAAGTTACCAAGGAAGTAGAAGAGAACATGGGTAGAGGTTAGAAGAGAATTAGACACCAGGGTTTGAATATCACTCCACCATATGCTAGCTATGAGTGTGTGGGCAAATGACTGCAGCTTCAGTCTATTCACCTATAACATGGAAATTAAATTACTTAAGTGGGCTGCCATAAGATTAGGTGAGATAAAATATACACGATGCACTTAGTAAAGTTGCCTGGATGAGCTCACAGAGCAATTTTAAATTACTTAACAATGAGTTCAGCACTGTCAAAAGCCACTTGAGAAGGGATCCTCAGAGCACACACTGTCTGTAATAAACAGCTGACTGACTGGGTATGGAGACCAGTTGAACATCACAAACTTGTGAGTATTTGTTGTGAGAGACATAACTACTTTTCCATTCTCCTATCACTACAATTCGAAGTAGAAAGGACCTAGAGGACTTACTCAAGTCTCTTAGTGTATTTCAGAATATTTCTTTTCTTGGGGGAATTAATTGCAGCCCAACAATGTGGTATTTCAATTATAGTATGGCCACTGAAATCTTTATAAATACTGCATATTCTCTAGAGAAATCCAATAATTGTATTCTTATCCCTAAGGGCCACAATGACCCACAACTGTGATGCTGAAGGAAAAACATTTTGTCTATGTCAAATTTACCAATATGCTTAAAAATAAAGATAAACTCATAAATCTCAAGTTGCCATGTTAAAGCAATTTAGATATAAGAAAGCACATTAAGTTTTACCTGAAGGGATCCATCAGCTGTTCTTCCTTTAGCCTCTCTTGGATTACGCGGACGATTATCAGTTCGGGAGTGATCGTCGTTGCCTACATATTTTTAAAATGTTCAACAATTAGGCTTAATGGAAATTCCGTATTCTTACATCTACCAGGTTGATCAAGCATAGAAACTAAAATGTAATCAGTAGCCTACTGATTCCAGTATTACATTATAGTTCGTATCCATCATTCTATCAAGAAATGGAAAAATATTCAGTCAGTCTGGATTAACCATCAGATACTGATTAGAATCCTCAAATAAGATGAACTAGTCACCAATCTTTAGTTACATTCTATATAAACCACAAGAAAGCTAATACTGTTACTACATAAATCAAAGGCTAATTCCTTCCAACCTCAATCAGCAGAAAACAGGATAACACATAATTCCGTTGCCAGGCATTTCTTTCATGGGACTTCATACAGTTGTAAAAAAATTGCTTAAATTTTTCAATAATGAAAATCATTATACCTTTGAAGCCTCCTCCTCGTCCTCTTCCTCCTTGTCCTCTTCCTCCCCCTCCACGCCGCCGTCCGTCTCCTCTGCGCAGGAAGCTCTCCCTCTCTTCCTCTGTTGGAGCTAATGACCAATCACTGAGTTCGTCTCTGTGGTCAGATTCTGTTTCAGAAGCATTTGATGCTTCAGAATTAGTTCCTATCGAGAGTTAAAAGTTATATACCATTGTCTGACTTAAAAAAAAAGGTTAACAGAAGCTTCCAGAGACGAAGTTTCAGGGGTAATCCAATACTCTTCCCATTATGAAGCCCATCAGAAACTACTATGTTCTATTTAGTAAAACAAGTAATTTCAAGTTTAAAGTGAAGGGTTTTGTAATATTTGAGACTATTCTGGTCATAAACACTTTTTTAAATGATATGTTATGAGCTACCTAAATTCAAACCTGAATGTGCCACATCTTTGAACAGCTGTGTTCTTTTAAACATCTGTGCTCTCTGGAGAAAAAGTTGTCTACAAGAATTAAATGCAAACTTTTGATACACAAAACTTCTATAAAGAGAGCTTTTTAACAAGATTTCACCCGGGGTTGGAAGGGAATGTACTCATTTTGATCACTTGTGAACAGGTGGCAAGAAGGCCACCATGGCATCTGCCTGAGGGAAGGGTCTCTATCAAATTATCCCCAGTGAAGGGGAATATACTTGACTGATGCATGGTTCACAACCTTCCCTCCCACTCCCAGTGGAATAATTCATAATTTAATAAAAGACTGCTACAAAAACTCATTATGCCTGAATGGATTAAAGACATAGGGGATGGGAGTTGAGGAAAAGAACTCCACAGTAAGGTGGAACTTTCTTGGTAAAAGAACAGAATTTTTGGGAGAGGGGTTAGGGGTTAGGTTCAAGGTTGGCCTTAGGAGCATGTGTCTTTCCCCACTCCAGTATATCAACTCTACTACCTCTCTCTCTTCCTCTGTTGGAGCTAATGACCAATTATAGCTTCACCATTATAGCTTCATTCCTGTGGATCTTGAAGGCTTTTCCATCTTAAAGAGTTCCTTTTTGAAATGCAAATATTTGTGAGATGGATTATACCTTATACCATCATCATTAGCAAGTTACATAGTAGATACACAGTTGAGCAAAAAGACAGTAGGCACTGGTAGTTGGGACTGGGTTCAATGAAAGGTATTGTGAGAGAAGAAGCATGGACAGAAGATCTGGGAAGGCAAAGAAAAACTTTGCCTACTTCTAGACTGTGCCTAGGGCTGACTCTGGCCATGCCTCTAAAAATGTAGACCCCTGATTAATACAGTCCATCCAGCAAGTATGACCAGCACTTGTCTGACAAAAAAAAATGAGCCACAGTACACAGATGCAAAGTTCTGGCTATACAGTAATAAAATCAGGGGAGGTCTTAGGTCAACAATACACCAGGGTTTACACAGATGTATCTCCAAATCAGATCATGGATAGAACTCACAACTTCCCTGAAAACTGTGTGTGCCATTATCAGGTTTTTACACTATATGTTTCTTGAATCACAATATGACCCATTGGCAGTTGGAAACCATGTTGTGAGAAATTGTTATCATGGAGGTTTAATGAGTATCAGAGATTAGCAGCTATTGAATCTAGGAACACATAAAAGTTACTGAGTAAAATGCTTAGTTTGTACCTGAAGTATATCCAGGACCGCGTCTGCCGTGCCCCCTATTTCTGTAAGGTCTACTACCTCGACCCATTCCTTGACCATCATCAGTCACATAGCCTTTTTCCTTATCTGTACGATTTGGTGGTGGTCTAGAACTAGCTCCAATCTGTCGCAACTGCTCATCAATTTGTAATCTCTCCAAACGCAACTGGTCTACTTCCTATTTAAAATATACAAGATAACAGTAAAAATAATTTGACATTTTACTTAATATGCTTCTCCTTTTTATCAGATAAAAAAGTATACTGGAAATATTTCAATTTCAGCTCTAAATTTACAGTAAACACTGTTAACAGCATTATCAGGACATTGAATGGTCTCCTTAAAAAGAAAATTACTATAGATACTAGTTATTATTGTTCAAAATTAAAGATATGCTAGTTTGGGGATTTCTTAGTGACAGGATACTCAATAAAACAATACCAAAATGTATAAATACAGATAAATGACATTTAAGGTTTAATCAACTGTCAAAAAATCACATATTGCAAATTATCTTAATAGAAATGGATCTGCCAGTGAATATCTTAATTCACAAAGTACTGAGACTGGACCATCTTTGGATGTGATTGTATGATTAAGGAAAAGTAGTTTCCACAAATTGAATATATCCTTTATATGAAGAGGAATAACAACTATTTAGAAGCTAATCAAAATAACTATGTCTTGCATCATAACTTGGAAACCTTTCAAAACCTAAAACTTGGATAACACAAGTATATTCACTTAAACAAAAGATACTCCAGGTTCTACTAACAGACCCTTCCTTATACAGAGTGCTTCCAATAAACTAGGTTCTGTAAAATCCAGATGACACATTTTTATAACTCGTCTTTCCAATCTATCCATAAACACCTCATTTTCTAGCTACGGAGAAACAGATCTGTAACTATAGTTAGTTGATGTCCCAGACAAAGAGGTTATCACAGAGACTATCTAAATGAAAAGTTATTGGAGAAGACCCTTAAAACTTAGGTTTCTAAAATTTTGGAACATATAGCATCTGGAAAACAATAGATTAATATTTCATGGAATGGGTACAAAGGTTTTGTAAAACACAACGGAATACTTCTACTAGGGCAAAGTAACCACGTTTGGTTAGAGATGCAAGGGAAGATCTAGTGATGGAAAGAATGTCAATAAAACAGCTGGTGATAGCCAAATAAAATATTCAACAGCGAAGAAGAAAGCAAAAGATCTAAGAGAACAAGAGATGTGACACAATGTAACCTTAACTGCTAAGGTCTCTGTAATTACTTAAGCTAAGACTATAAAGAAAAATGCTTGCAACGTATTACACATGAAACACACTGTCAAATAAAAATAAACCAAATATCATATCCATGCAAACTTTGCTGGATGAAACCTTGCCACTTTTAATTAACTTACCACTATGAAGTATAAATGAATTAGCCAACTATTACAATTTTTTCTTCCTTTCACTCTTATTTACATATAATTAGAATAATTTATCTTTATTTAAGCCAGCAAAAGAATATAATTGTTATATAAACCAAACAAAGTCAGATTGCTGTTTAAAGTACTCAGTAACAGCTACACTGCAGTTTTAATAGATATAAATACAAAGAAGCAAATAACAAAAATTAAACAGTAAGATTCTATTTTATTAAAATTTACAGGACGTTTTGGCCAAAGGAAATTTCAAAAAGAATCTAGTCTATAAAGTGACTTGCCTAAGGTCACATACCTAGTGATAGAAGTATTACTGCAGTTTATTATTGCAATCTAGATTGTACTCTTTCCACATCTTACAACCTCCTTGTTCTTACATCCCAGCTTGCAAGCTACAGGAGGCAAAATCATACAAGCACTCACTGACGAAAACAATTTTTTTTTTTGAATCACAGAGTATAGAAAAAATATGAAGGGCAAACACTGAATCAGAATACTTCATGGAATGCTAGAAGTGCCCTGCTAAGTAACATAAAAGGGACAACAAAGGCAAGTGTTATGAACACAAAATTTAGCCTACACATAAAGTCTACAAAAGCTAGAAATAATCAAGGGGGCTACGTACAGGATTAACCAAATTGAATATAAGTATTTAATGATGAGTTAGTGGAAACATAGGAATTTATTGAGAATTTACTAGTCCTCAAATGTATAATGAAAAAGTTTTGTTTTCAGGAGGGATATAAGCTGAATAAACTATTTTTTCTATGACCATTTACAGGGTTATACATTGTTATGCACTGACTATAATGAACAATAATTAATGAAAATTCAGTTTTTATATTTTAGCGCAAATGAATTAGAAAGTCATGTTCTCACCTTTAAGTAGTTCAGATGATAATCCAAAAGGACAGTAGCATTAGCGATGCTGTCTTTTGTTCCCACAAAAACAAATGGTACCATGCCCTGAAAAAGAAATTGCAACAATGAGGCCAAAAATATTTGTGATGATTAATTTGACAAAACAAATAATGATTAAATCCCTAGTACAGTCTAGTGAACAATAGGTGTACAAATGTTTCTTGAAAATATAAGGAAAAAAACAAGTAGTTGGTATATTCTAATATGAATAAGGAGAGGTCAAAACAACACAAATAATTTTTTTGGTGCCAGTCCTGGATGTGAATTAGGGGACTATGTGCTGTTCGTTGGCTTTATCTGCTGTATTCTACCACTTGAGCCACTGTTCCATTTCCAGTTTTCTAAGTGGTCATTTAGAGATTTAGAGTCTAATGAACTTTCCTGCTGGCTTTAAACCACAATCCACAGATTTCAGCCACTTGAGTAGTTAGGATTATAGGCATAAGCCACTAAGGTGCCCAGCTAATCACATTCCAGTTTAAAGAGTACCATTAAATGTCAAAAATCACAAAAAATATTAAAGTCATACAAGATTTACCATGAGATGCATAAACAAAATGAATACTTGAAAATATTCCAATGCATTTACTCCAAGTTTTACCTAAATCAGAATCTTTAGAAAAATAATTCAAAACAACATATGGGGGATAGAAAAGTTAATACAGTATAAAAAATTGTTCAACAAAAAATTTGTATGAATAAAAATGTAGTAGGTAATTTGCATGACAAAAAGTTAGGTATTTCCATGAGCATAAAGTTTAGCCAGATTATACAAATTCTAATAACACATTCAATCTTTTCTAAAAAATGTTTTATTTTCTATGCATACCACTTTAATATATTAAAGCACAGATTTTAAATGAGATAATGTACAAACCCGCACACTTTTAGCCCATCAGTATAAATGAAAGGAAAAAAAAATTCTGACAGGTAATTCTGACAGTTAAAATCAAGAATAGTCCACTATTTGCTACTGGAGAAATATGCATGGTTATTGATAATCACCAACTAATACAAGCTATTATGGTAGCTTTGATATGGATACATTACAACCATTAGGCAAAGTTAAAAAGAGTGTGGAGCCAAGAAACTGTCCCTTGAGCCAAGTATCTTTCTCACACAGATTATCCACTTGGTAGGTGTTGCTACCATCGGGCTGCTTTTGTTGCTTACAATTAATGGCTGGCACAAGCTTTAGTTTTTCCGTATACATGAACATAGGTGCAGATAGAGAAGGAAACTGATCAATTACATGAACAATTACAAAGTACTAAATACTGACCTTCATCTAGTAGGTGAGGCATTGCCTCCTATTACTAAGGACAATCTGAAGAATCAGGTGCCACTGAAAACCCATAGACTTCATATGGATTTTTTTTCTGCACCAATACATAAAGTATCAAAATAATGAAGCCTATAAATAAAATCTCATCTGAAAATACTATTTTGGCTATTGTGTTTCTTCCCCAACTAACTTTGTTATGAAGCTGTTAGCCCATATTATTTCACGAAATATAATATGACAGAATGTTACACTTCTCCAAATAATTACCAAACTATGCTTTCAAAGCCAATGTTTCAAATTCAGCTAACCTGACTTTGCAGAAAATCATTTAAAGACATTTTCTCTTAGAGCATGTCTGAACTGGTGGAGTAATTTAAGCATCTTGTCAGAAGACCTGAATCAATTCCAACGAAGAAAGGAGAAAAGAGAATGTTGCTTTCAATTCATACACTAGAAAAGTGATTCCTTATTCTGGGATAAGAGCTGAGCTGCCCAGCTCAGATCACCCAATTTATTTGCAGATACAGTGCTCTGTAAAACAGCATTTTTGGTTTTAATCTCCCCTGAGTCATACATCTTTCTCATATAGTTTTCACAGACCAGGGAGAGGACCCTCTAATAAAAGTGTCATACTGAGGGTGTGCAAAGAGTGGAGTAGTGAGAGGGGAGGGAAACTGGCAAATATATAGTCAAAGTTTCACAAGGAGTAAGGTCAAAATGAAGAGGCAAATGAGGGAGAAAGAGTGCTCCAGGTAAAATAAACTCACAGTGAGATTTATCATGTATGTCTAAAAGAATAAGAATATGATAATGTTCCAAGATGCTTATTTGCAGTCTTTCTTAACAAGGGGACTAAACATGGAAATATGAACTTAATGTATTTTTCAAGGAATCTTTTCCTGATTGCCAAGCCTTGAGTTCAGGTTTCTGGGATTCCCCTGCTACAACTGATGAAACCACTACCACCTAAAACAGTATAAGGAATGCAAGTGATGTCCTTAACTGTAACAAATGATACACTGAAGCCTGAACACAGGACTTTCTTTGTAGGGCTTCTAAACCCATTTCTAAATTGCTAGGTTAAATAGTGAAAACTAGTTTCTAAAAATGTTTTTCTTTTATTATGTGTACACTAATTATACAAAATAATGGAATTTTGACTAATTAATGTATCTAGCAGAAAGTATATTTTGACCTACAGTACCTACAAAATTTAAGAAAATGCAGCATAAAAAATATCTACCTTCAGCAGGAACAGGGAATCCATTATTTTAAAGATTTATCACTGTGAACAAATTGAAAAGTATGGGCTGGGAAGGTGGCTCAGTGGTAGAGTGCTTGCCTTGTATACATGAGGAAAAGTATGCATAACTTTGGTTTCTAAGATCTTATAAGCTGCCAATCAGATCTGTAAATAATATGAGTAGCCTACCAGTCTAATCAGAAAGAGACTCAAAATACCAACTGTTAGATCTGAGTTGAAGAAATTTTAGTGTAATTCAAAGTTAAAAACAGTCTTACCCTCTGTACTTTTGTGCTATTAGGCTGAGAAAAATGGGCACTATTTTCCTTTAAATCTAAATGTTTTTTTTCTTCAGAGGAATTAGGTCCAACCCTTGAATTATTGGAAGGTAGGGAATTTGGTGGCATTATTTCCTGGATAAAAAAAATCAAAGAACACAAAACAGAAGTTTTCAAAAGGACCAATTTTGGGCTGCAGCTATGTTAGCTTAAGCAGTACACAGTCTATGAAGTACAAAATACTAAGTTCAAACCCCAGCAATGTCCCTGACCCTCAAATAGAAAGCACCAATTTAACAACTCCATTATTTCATCAATTATTTCTAGTAAACATACCATTTAATACTTAAATAATAATATATAAACATATTAGAAAACTCAACTCTTCCTCCATGATCATTATACACAGTATTGCATATAAACTACTGAATCCAAACATTATGCAATAAAAGCCAAGGGTTTAATTTCAAATAAAAACACCTTACACAAAAGACTAAACAATATACAAAAATTACATTTTGGAGGGACAGTAGCTTAAGAATAGTATTGCACAGAAGGTATACAAGTACTGCAAGGGTAGCTACCATAAAATATAATAGGAAAGTAAAAGTTCAGATTATAAAATGAGAACATTGGGGAAAGTGATGTATATTAGTCAGAAAAAAATTTAAAGTACAGAGAATAAACATACATGTAATGTAATTCTCAAGGTAAAAGAACTAACAGTAGAAAACCAGAAAGCTTAACTTGTCTTCTAATTTTGTCTGTGTCAGCAACATTAACATTTGAAAAGTACTTTTTAAACAAAACACGTTCACACACATTATTTCATTAAGTTGTCACTAATATTAGCAAGCTTATGACTGTCCATTTTAAGAGCACAGGTTAAAGTTACTAATCCAAAATCATAGCATCAGAATAAATACAATCTACTATTAAACCACAAACAGTATTAAGTCGTATCAGATACATAAGCACAAAGTTCTGGAAAAAAAGAGGTTTTCCATTAATCTCATGTGTATTTCTGTTTCTAAAGTAATATATCAAATTAAACAATAGAAACTTTTATTAGACAAACTAGAAATATATGAACTATAACATACCTCTTCTTGAGGGACATTTTTCTCATTTTCAGCCTCAATCCTCACCCTCACAACTCCTGATTTGTCCACAATTTCCTGAATCAGTTTTCCATTTTTTCCTATTACTTTACCTAAGAAATGAATAATTCATGTTTGATTTTAAAAACATACCCTCAAACACCTCAATTACTCTAAACTATAACAATACACACATACATACACACACAGGGAACTGAATAAAATTCAAAACAAAAACCCTTGATTAGTATATGTGACCTGATTTGGTAAGGTTGAATTTTTAAGGCAGAAAAAGCTTATAGTGTATTAAGAGGGTAGGGTATCCTTTGGCTCGCTGGTACTGTGGTATTTATCATGCTGAGAAGTTCTACAAAAGGAATTAAGGAGGATAGATAACAGTAAATATACCTGCACATTTGACAATTCCAATTCTTATCTATACTTGATTCAAATCTTATTTCTTTATGGTAAATATATTTAGAGCACATATGAAACAGGTATCCAAAAGAAGCTTAAGCAGCTATTCATCTATTTGAAAAGAATAGAAACTGTTTGGGCTAATTTGTCAACAGAATATTATTTCTGTGCATTAGTCACAAATTAGAGCAGAATAGATGGAGTAGTCAGAGTGTAAGATTAAGAAAGCATGCTTTAAGTCAAAATCACAATGAAAAACTTACATATAAAAAAAGCACTCCAACAAACTTGGTTAAAACTTCAAAGATTTCAAGTACTACTACTAAACAGCACTTGATTCTTTTCTTAATTTATAAAGCCAAAACTTGCTACATTACCTCATGGAGGAATCCATGTCTCTCACAAGCAGAGCACAGCTATTATACCCTGGATATGGGTAAGGGCACTTACTGGCTATTCAGCCAGACACTGGTGGTTCACACCTGTAATCCTACCTCTCAGGTGGCAGAGATCTGAGGATCACAGTTTGAAGCCAGCCTGATCAGGAAACTATGAGATTCTCATCTTTAATAAACCACCAAAAAGCTGGAAGTAGAATTGTGGCTCGAGTGGTAGCATACTAGCCTTCTCCAAAAAAATTAAGGGCCAGCCGAGTGCCAGTGGTTCATGCCTGTAATCCTAGCTACTCAGGAGTCTAAGATCTAAGGATCATGGTTTGAAGCCAGCCAGGGCAAGAAAATCCGTGAGACTCTTATCTCCAAATTACCCCAGAAGAACAACAGAAGTAGAGGTAGAGTTCTAGCCTTGAGTGCAAAAGCTCCAGTACGGCACCCAGGCCCTGAATTCAAGCCCCACAACCGATATACATACACACAAAATCTAAGGGACAGCTCCCAGGCCATGAGTGTGACCACTAATACTGGCACACACAAAAAAGGAACTGATGTTATCAAATCAGGACTCCTAGGACCTTGCCAATTATTTATGCTCTTCTTTAAATGAAAAGGAGAAATAGGTAAGATTAGTTATCTACACCTTCCCACAGTTTGTTTATAATTTATAAACATACTGATGAATGCTTACTTTAATAGTCTAGAAAAGTAAGAAAAAAGTGAGATTTTAGTACATTTCTATTGAGATTGTACATTGACTATTCTGCATTAATTGTAGCTGACTGAACACTTAAACTCATCGTCAAAGGTGGTGAAGAGCAAGCAATTTTTTTTTTTTTGGTCAGTCATGGGGCCTGAACTCTGGGCCTGGGTGCTATACCTCAGGTCTTCAGCTCAAAGCTAGTGCTCTACCACTTGAGGCACAGCGCCACTTCTGGCTTTTTCTGCTTATGTGGTGCTCAAGAATCAAACCCAGGGTCTCATGCAAGCAAGGCAAGCACTCTATCACTGAGCCAACTTCCCAGCCCCAGAACAAGCAAATTTAAAGAAAGACAAATCAGTGTACATGTTAAAGAGATCAGTCATATTGTGAGACTTTAAGGAAACGTATGCAATACTGATTATGACATCTCCTAAAGACCTGCATAAAAAGGCTTTCTAAAAATCTCCAACCATCCCAGTGTTGCAGGATACTGCCTCAAAAGAATTTTTTTTTAATTTAATTTTTTTTATTGTGAAAATACTGTACAGAAGGGTTACAATTACATGGGCAAGATAATGAGTACTTTTCTTATCAAGCATTGTAGCCTCCTTCGTTGTTTCCCCTTCCCATCCTCCCTTCCCCCCACCCAACCCTCCCATGCCTCAAAAGAATTCTCTTATTTGGCTCCTCTTTTTCCAGTAAGACCAAAGGTGGAATCTAGATTTACCATTTAGTAACAATCCAATTCTACATCACAGGTATTTCTAAAACCCAAAGATCGATTTACTACAATCCTGCTCTACTAACATAGTTATTTTACTGAGTCTCCTACTAATGTCCAGAACTGTAAGAGGTACTTTATACACACAAAGCACGGCCCATATCCATCTCTCAGAGAGGTAGATACTATTATCACATTTATTTGAAAAATAGGGAAGATTCTACTCTGGGAGACTATTATCAATTGTCCACAGTTGCACAGCTACCAAATAATGAAGTATGACTGAACTCCTATGCCCAAGCACTTCTGCCTACCATAATACCACCTTCAAAATAAACATTCATGGAACTGAAACCTAAATTTCCATCGATATGATAATTTTAAGACACTTTTGGCTATGTTTTCCTAAGAATGCCTCAATTTCTAAATTTACAGTAACATTCCTTATTCAACCTACATGTATGTGGTTAATAACTTATAAATAAGAAAATCTTATTTATAACCTCAAAACCTTAAGATAATTAATTCACCCTGTACGTGACTCTTTTATACAACTGGCATATAAGTCACTTAAATAATGTTAGTGATCTTCTTTAGTCATCTATAAGTGAAGTATTAATTTCTCATAATTTCATTTGTACTTGTACTTTATATTTGAGTTATTTTCAGAGGAGAAAGAAATACCATGGGCTTAGAGCCAGGGTTTTTTGCTATGTAGCTCAGGCTGACCTTGAATTCCCCATCTACCTGTTTCAACCTCCTGAATGCTGGGATTACAAACAGGCATGCACCAGCATATAGTCATTACTAGTGCTTTTCACTGACATTAGAAGATATTCCTAGCCTATGCTGACTAAAAAGCAAACCAAGTAGCTTTGAAATTATGCATATAAAATAAACAAGAAAGTCTTTTTTTCCATCTTCAAGTTAGTCTCAACCTTATAAAATCCTATTTGATCTCTTGATGTGGTTTTAATATAGTCTACTGAAGATTGCTGCAATGTTTGTGAGTATGGGTGAAGAATTTCTATATATCTTCAGATATTTGTGATGGTGGTCATGAAATAGTACTCAAGTCATATTTGGACTTCTAGTTTGGAACTTATTAGATTTAAGAAGTCTACATTCAGATCTTCATCAGAGATAATTCACATGAATGCTATCACTTTGAGTCCATTTTAAAGATCAAGTCCCAAAATATTCCAAATTATGAATCCTAATATTCATTTAAAAATATTCATTTTAAGTAACAAAAAATTACATGGTGAGGAGGCTGGGCAAAATGTATTCTTCCAAGCATTAGTAACTATGAACCTACAAAACATTCTCTTTTACACTTCCATTAAATTATGTTAAATGAAAGAAAATGAGATTTTATTAGTATAAAAATTTGTTTACCCTCATTTCTTTGTAATCTATGTTAATGGTTATTTCTGACTTACCTACTAAATTCCTTGGAACTTGTATTACATCTTCAGCAAATTCAAGAAAGCTTCTAGCCTTTTTTACTGCATCCTGATCCTAACAAGAAGAGAAATTTCAAGACTAAAGTTAAGCTACTGATATTTTTGTGGGGAGAAACTATCTGGTAAAATATTTACCTCTCCATAAATATGAAATGTGCAGGTGTCTTCATCTAGATCAATAGCAGTGACTCCAGGTACTTTTCTAGCTTGCTGGATATTAGCACCATGAGTACCAATAGCTAGACCCATCAGATCTTCTCGAACGATAAACTGTTCATGAAACCTTGAAGCAAGCTGCCTTGAACTCTGAAGAGAAACATACATCTGATGACTATGCTTGATTAACTATTAAGACAACTGAATATAGGTCAGCCATGTAAATTATCTTGACCCCGTATATCAGGGGCCCATAAATTGATTTCAGTTGAAAACTAATTTTAGAAATGATCTCCCATAGCACAAGTACTTTCTAGGTTAGTGAAGGTCCATGCCATATGATTCATTTCTGTTGATAGGAATAGAGCTATTGACAGTTTTCCAACTTGAAAACCTATTTGCAAGGCTGCCATAGTTAACCAATGGCATCAACAATGTAATAATTAATTAGAAGCACATCAAATGTTTCCAAATAAAAACCAGCTCACTGGGTCTGGCAGACTCAAATATTATTTAAGTAAAAAGGTAAAAGAATCCCCCTATGGAAATCATGACTTCTCTTCTCCCCAGACCTAATCAAAGAAACCATAAAAGTTGCTTGGTAGTTAAATGAATGCTAACAGTACGTCAAAAACTAAAACTGACCTACAATGAGGTTAAGAGTCTGCTAGACCTTGTGATCTGGATCCACAAGTATGATGAACACTTCAAAATATATTCAGTGTGACAAAACTAAATTCCATTGATATCCAAACTTGTGGATAATTGCTTTCTTTAAACAGTATATCAAAATTTAAAGTTTATTTCTAGCATGCCATTAATGAAAAACAAACATATTAGTGGCTCATGTTGAAAAATGGGTATTTCTTATAGGAATAAATGAATCTGTTTATTATTAGTAGTGAAGAATAGGCATGCATACTAGTTTCTCATTATTCAGCACAGCTAATTTGAAAGAAATGAATTCACCTAGTGTATGTAAACTAATTTTAAAAGTACACAATCCACTTAAAATATAGTAATAAGTATACACAATCTACCTAGGACTTTCCAAGAAAGCATGTTTTTTTGAGTACTGGTTCATTAGCCTAGTTCATTCTTTTCATTGATAACTTACTGACAAATGGTAACAGAGCATTTAAGAAAAACTAGATGTTTAAGAAGATGCATATGAGTATACTTCCATGATACTCACAATTAAAGAGGCTACTCTGGATAAAAGTTATGGCAATATCACTGAAAAAACCACAAAATGGTGACCACAGGACAAGATGAAAGGACAAGCAACAATCAATCAAACAGAGCTACATGGCGATAAGAAAAACTTTTCTTTCCTACCAAGGGTTCAGAAACCACATGTCAAGGTGGAAGGTGGCAAAAAAATAGGGCTCTATGTGAAGCCTTGACCACCTTCTCTCAATCAATATGCACTTTGGAACTCCTTTATCTCCACTGCTATATTCCCCCTAATGAAATGAATAAGGATGAGGAATTCTGATCTACTTGAGTTGGTATATTAAAATAAAATCCATTTTGTTTCTATGGCAATGGATGGAAGTACTAAATAGTTATCAATGAAAATAAATGTATGGTGATGGAAATTATTGGAGGATTAATAAAAGTAGATAAAATGCACCTTAAGAGACGAAATAGTAAGTTAGGGAAATAGCCTCTGGCAGGAATCTGAAGACAGACAGGAGTTTTAAAGAGTGACAACCAATTAGAATGAAGAAGTTCTATACCCTTTTAAACAGAGATAAACATACATAGTGAAAGGAATATGATTAGATATTTACTGTCCAGTACTTTACTAATAATATGCTCTATGGAAGAAGCATTGCTTCAATTTACAGCAGCTTTGAAAACGTATAGTAAAACTGAATTTACCAGAAGTTCCTTAAAGACATGAAATGCTGTTTGATTTTGAAACACCAGCCATGAATATTGTAATATGATTATGCTTTGTACATTTAATCTTCCAAATTATAAAGAATTAAGACAAGCTGCCCATATTCAATTTGGAAAAAGTACAACTGTCATTTGTAGGTAGTCTTACAAACAGAGCTAGGGAAAGTGACATACCTCCAGTTGCTTACTGGCCTCTTCATTTCTCAGGATCAGCGATAATTTAGTGCGGAGACTCCGAAAGTGCATGTCAATCAGCATATGTGCTCGCTTTGAGGTGACTTCATTGATGGACTAGGTAAGGTAACAACATTAGTCTCAAAGGAAATTGCTCCAAATGAAATAAACCAAAACTAGATGATATAGAAAAACTCACCAAAATGACAAGCTGATAAGTTTCTGGGTCATAAGATACAGAAAAGGCACCAACTGCCTTTTTAAAATCTTTATGTGCAGATTCTTTAGCACACCTAGAAATTTAAAAAAAAAAAAACTCATTGTTAAGAGGGGAACTACTTTCCTCTGCAGGCTACCTACCCCAATTCTTTTTGCTTTAGTTATTACGATAATGTGTCACCCTACTGTTTGGCGCTGGCCTTGGTCTTAGATCCTCCTATTTGCACTTCCAGTACAACTAGGATGATTGTACCACCATGTCTGGCTAGTTTGTTAAGAAGGGGCCTTGCCTTTTGCCTCAGCTATTTTTAAAATTTACTTAACCTGGCCTTGTTTCTTCTTTTGCAAAGAAAAACAGCTGGCCTCTTGAATGAGAGTAGGGAATACATATGAATGAAAAATGCAACAATTTTATATCCACAATCGTTAGTCGATCTATTCTGTAATATGTCAGTGAGATACAAGATGTCCACATCAGACTTACTACTTTTGGGAATTTAAATCATTTTTTCCCAAAATTCACTGAATATAAAACCCAACTTATAATTAAAATTTGTATTCTTTTAATTTCACATCACTTTGCTTGTATCTCCTCAGCGATTCTCATGTGGTAACTTACATTTGCCGTAAGTCTTCTGGTACTTCCAGCTTGATTTTATGAAAAGTATCCTTAGTAGCAGGTTTGTTGGGATTCACAGATCTTAGGCGCTCAATTGTGACAATTTCATTGTATGTAGCATCACAGGCTGCATATTCTATCACATAAAACTGACAAAATAAATAAAAGTCACTTTTAGCTTTTAAAGCAAAAAGTGAAAAATTTATATACCTGTTTTAAAAATAAATCCTCTAGAGGAAAACAAAACTTTAATTACAATATATGAAATGCACTAATTATACAGTGAAAAATTTTAAAAAAATGACTAAAATTAGACATTCAAATAGCAATCTAAACTATAATGTAACCTTAACTAGGTTTATGAAAGGGAAATAGTATAAGGAAAAAAAAATTAAGCACTTTCTTACCTCACCCTTTATCATCCTCACTTTGGCTAACCACCAACAGCAAGGCTCCTTTTCATTTGCTCTGGAATAAACCTACACAAAAATTACAACATACAATATTTGGTGATTAATGTTAAGTTGGAAATATATAGATTATCAGACACTGAGAAAACTTTCATGAAATTCCTCTATATATAGATTATCAGACACAGAGAAAACTTTCATGAAATTCCTCTAGGTATCCTTTAAACCATGTAACTTTTAAATCATATGCCTTCAATCAAATTGTACCTCTGTCTATGCTTTCTGAGCTAGACAAAGTTACCTAATCAGAAGTTACCTGAGACTGCTTGAGAGTAAGCTCCCTGCTATAAGTAGTTTTCTTACATCTTCGTTATACTTTATGTAATTAATACTCCAAACACAGATGCTTAGGAAAAGTTGCGATTCATACACATGGATATACTTTCCTTAGGTAGTGAGCTATAAAATTTACTGGAATTTACTGACTGGCCTACTGTGTGCATATCAAATGTGTAAGACTGCTGACCAGTCAGCACTAGGGCCTTCATTCCTCCAAATTCCTCTCCATTAAAAAGGACAAATTCACATACACTGTCAGTCTCTGAGTATCGTCTTCCTACTTCATCACACAATTGTGGATTAATTCTAAATGATTTCTCTGGAGGATACTAACAAATCAAGGTTGATAGAAAAGTACTGTATATATGCAAAGAGAAATGGAAATACTCAGAAGCACAAAGGAAAATAAGAAAGAGGAGAGGAGAGGAGGGGAGGGGAGGGGAGGGGAGGGGAGGGTAAGAGAGGAGAAGGGAAGGGAGGAGAGGAGAGGAGAGGAGGGGAGAAGAGGAGTAAAAGGCTGAAAGCAAGTCAGGTTCTCACTCATTTCCACTTTACAACCAAAGCTAATGGTTATTCAATAAGGTGACTAAAATGTAGCCTAAGTTAAGGAACCTATCTTTCCCTCTTACCTCTATTAGTCTCTCAACTCTTAATCTACTCTAATGGCTGACTCTTAGATACTTTAGTCAGTTCACCACAGAAATTTCAACTTGTCATGTCATGTGATTACATTGAAAAACAAAAGATCTTCTTCTTCATCAAACACTATGAGTACTTCCAATATAGACAGACCAAAAAATGTGGTCCTTGCCTTCAGAAAGCTCATAATGTCCTGGAGAAGTGGACATTTAAAGTTTTTGAACTACATGCAATGTTTCTATTTCATTAGTATTGCTTTCAAAACAAAACCCAGTTGCTTATAGCTACTCAGTATATTCTTGGTAAATATATAAAACTTTATTCCATTTCCATTTATAAACTATGGAGAGAACACAGCCCTAGACATATAGAGATATTCCTGACTACATCCTAAAACATTGCAGCCTTGTGTATGGTTACCTGTTTTGATTTTCTTTCTTCATGACTTTCACTTGCTATGACCCTCATAACTAAACTAAGGCAGGAGATTGTCCTGTTTTCCTGTACTTTTAGCACTCAAGAGCAGAAAAAAAGAGTTTAAGGACTTAGTACCTTTTGTTTTGTCTCTATAAAAGTATTCTGCATACGATACTCAAATTTCCACAATGGAAATAAAAGAAGAAGCTTAAAATGCAGTGTGTAAAAAGCTAAGAAACTACACAAAACTGTAACATCAAAACATTTTAGGGGTGGATTAATAAAAAAAAAATTCCCAATGAATAGGGAATCATGAACACAATGATTTTGATCATGCGTTAAGTCTCTATAGCACCTTTTAGTCAAAGAGCTCCATGGGAGATGAGCATGGTTCAGAGTATGTCCTGTGAAAAAAGGTTTTATTATACGTATAAACTAAAAGGTGTATTTTCAAAAATTATATACCAGGAAGACATTAAGGTTTAAGAAAAAAATACAGTAAAATGTCTATATACTCTTAAAAGGATATTATATAGCATCAAAACTCTAATAAAACTCAAAGTAGTTTAAACATTGCTAAAGGCAAGGTATAATTAAATATCCGAAGCAAATTAAGTACTTCCCACTCCTTGAATATTTAATAATTTCTTGACAGTGGTAACTCACCTCAACTTCATCACTTTCATTTATATCTTTATTATAACCTACAGGTGGTGGGAATCTCACATCATGGAATGGGATCTGCCTCTCTGGCTGCCAGCTGAAAATAAGCAAACAAAATTTGTTTACCATATTTTTGAAGTTTAATTCAAACAGTGACCATTTTGCAATCAACTTGGATAAGCACGGAACCTCCCCCCCCTTTTTTTTTTCTGGTTTAGAGAAGCAAATGCTTTCAAACAGCCAGTTGTTGCTGAGTGGAGCACAATGAGAATGTACAGACATTTCAACAGTCTGCATGCAGCATTGCAGCCTTATACTTCCATAGGAAATTCTTCTCTAAACAAACTAGATCAAAATAGTTTTTCAAAAATTTTTATTCCAATAATTTCAATTTGTAAGAGTTTAAATACAAATTCACAACAGAAAAATACCATAAATACTTAAAATGAAATGGTAGTATCAGCAAATGTTAGTAGTATCATCAACGTACTTCTTTCGACTTGCAAAGAACACTGAAAGACATTCCATCAACTGCCAAAACTGTCCTCTGATTCTCAAGCAAAATGGAGCAGTCAGCACATCAACAATTCACAACTCACTTTTACCCCATAAAATTTTAGATCCCACGAGGTGGTCAATTCTTGTCATGGGTAGCCGCTGCTGATCAGTTTGACGCATCAGCATGCACTGGGTTGGTGGGGGTGTCCTAAACCACAGAAACCCAATGGAGACAGCCTACAGTAGTTCAATTAAGTTGCCTGTGTTTTCTACTTTTTAAAAATTTAAAATGATATGGAGCAACTGTAGAAGACACCAAATCATTCTCTTTGTTGTTGTTTTCATTTGTTGGGCTTGAAAGCTTGGTGCCCAAGGACAGTGCTCCACCACTTTAAGCTACAGCTCCATTTCTGGTTTTCTGATGGTTAATTGGAAATAAAGAGTCTCAAGGCCATTCCAGCCCTGGAGGCTTTGAACCATAATCCGGACATCTCTGCCTCCAGAGTAGTTAGGATTATAGGCCACAGCCCCCAGCACCTGGCAAATTATTCTTTTACACCCACCAAAGATTTAAAATGTAGTAAAAAAAAAAAAAAAAAACCTCTACCAAAGCACTGCAGCATTCAACTGCTGGAGCAGTGACTTATATTATCCATACAGATATTTGGAGATTCAAGACAAGGAACAAAAGAAGCTGGGGCAGTAACTTTTAAAAATATTGCCTAAGTGCTGTTCAAATAGCGTATACCTATTTTTTTTTTTTTTTGTCAGTGGTGGGGCTTGAACTCTGGGCCTGGGCGCTGTCCATCAGCTCTTCAGCTCAAGGCTAGCGCTCTACCACTTCAGCCACAGCACCACTTCCAGTTTTCTGAGTAGTTTAATGGAGATAAGAGTCTCATGGACTTTCCTGCCTATGCTAGCTTTAAACTGCGATTTTCAGATCTCAGCCTCCTGAATAGCTAGGATTACAGAAGTGAGCCACTGGCGCCTGGCAGCTTATTCCTACTGAGGAATGATAATTTTGTTTGTGCTTTTGCTTTTTAAAGAGCTACTATGTAAGAGCAAAAATAAGTCAGAATTTTTGGAAATCTGAAGGCTGAAATTTGACTAAACCCATCTTGACTTACTATACAAACGAAAACTATTTTTAAAATCATCTTTACTGGGGCTAGGAAGGTGGCTCAGTGGTAGAACGCTTGCTTGCCTTGCATGCTTGAGGCATGACAAATTCACTGATAAATGTGATTTGTAAGGCATATATTAACATAGAATACAAGTTTCTTGATTTGAAAGAAGAAAAACTGACTTTATTTGAATATATAAAGATTAAAAAAAATCAAGGAAGTGGCGCTGTGACTCAAGGGGTAAAGCGCTTGGAGCGCCTTGAGCTGAAGAGATGAGGGACAGCGCCCAAGCCCAGAGTTCAAGCCCCACGACGGACCAAAAAACAAAAACAAAAACAAAAAACAAAACAAAGTTTCTGAAATATTTACTAAAAAAAAATCAAATCTCCTATTCAAAAAGTATGAAATATGATGCTAGAGACCGATGGTTTTCGCCTGTAATCCGAGTTACTCAGGAGGCTGAGATTGGAGGATTTAAGGCAGCCCAGGCAAGAATGTCCACAAAACTCTTTTTTTTTTGGGGGGGGGGGGGTTAACATTCCAAACATGTATAACCAATGAACATGGCCTAGATTTTTTTTTTTATTGGTATTTACTTCAGTAACTTGAATCCACATATATAAGGAGAATATAACCAGAGTTACAAGTAAACACAGATTATACATGCAAATTTCGGTTCACAAAGGTCACATGTGCAGGTACAACTCTTCATGTTTACAAGATGCAATTTTACATTTTTTTAAAGTTTGGCCATAACTCTTTTTTTTTTTTTGTCGGTCGTGGGGCTTGAACTCTGGGCCTGGGTGCTGTCCTTCAGCTCTTTAGTACTCTACCACTTGAGCCACAGCGCCACTTATGGCTTTTTGATTCTGTGGTGCTGAGGAATCCAACCCAGGGCCTCATACATGCAAGGCAAGCACTGTACCACAGAGCCACCTTCCCAGCCCCACAAAACTCTTATCTCCAATTAACCACTAGAAATCCAGAAGTGAGGCTGTACCTTAAAGTGGTAGAGCAGTAGCCTTGAGCAAAAAAGATCAGGAACAGCACTGAAAACTATCGAGTATAAGAGTGACAGGTGTTTCTTCATAACTGACACAAAGGGTAAATATCACTGGAATTCTAGCTACTTGGGAGATTGAGATCTGAGGATAGGAAGATAGTGGTTCAAAGCCAGCCTGGGCAGAAAAGTCCATGAGACTCTTAGCTCCAATTAACCACTGAAAATCCTGAAGTGCAGAAGTGGAGGTGTGACTCATGTAGAAGAGAAACAGCCTTGGGCAAAAATGATAAAGGACAGCACCTAGACCCTGAGTTCAAGCCACCAGTATCAGCACAAAAAAAAAAAAAAAAGAAAGAAAGAAAAAAAAAAGAAAGAGTAAACATAATCTCAAGTTCTATGGAGTACTGTTTGTGTATATGTTTTCTACTATTAATGTTCAAAGTCAATATAGTATCTCACACTTGATGAACACAAAGAAAAAGTGTTCCTAAATTTCAGATTCCTGGGATGACAGCTTGAAATGAAATTTTTATGCAGATATGGCACAGGAGATAAATAAATTAGGAAGTCAATAGATGGAATGCTTTAAAGTTTAGGGTAGAAATCTGAATGAAAACCAAAATGAACTGATGTGATAAAGCAATGTATTAACTAGACACATGTAGAGAGAAAATGACTGTTTGCTTAATAGTTGAGATTACAGATAGGAGAAACGAGAAGCCTGGCAAATAAAGATAACTCTTTTTTGTTATAGGAAACAGTGTTTGCTTACTGTACAGAGCAAATAGATAGAGTGTAATTACAAGAAAAAAAGTACTCTCCAAGTTATGAAAGATTCCTGTACTAGAAGTGTGATGCTTTTCTGCTTACTGTACAACCACAGACACTTGAAATAGGTAAAAGGTAAATTGGATTTTTGGCTTTCTGTACTCAGAGAAGAGTAATTATTCAAATTTATATCCTGAACTAACATTATTAGCCTAGAAGAGCTGAATATTCTCAATCAATTTACTCTGCCCTTCTCAATGTGTTTCAGCACGTAGGGATACTACTTTGTCCCTCTGTAGGCTAAAAGACTGAATGTGATTCCACCCTAATCACAAAACTTTCTAGATGCTGAAATGCAAGCTTGCTTTTAAAGAGTTTCAGACGCAAGATATTTTTGCTTATTGCTCATTATGTCTGGTTCACATTTGTTAGCAGATTTACTGAGATACATTTCAAAAGCCATACAACTCACTCATTTAAAATTACATTTCAGGGCTGGGAAGGTGGCTCAGTGGTAGAGTGCTTGCCTTGCATGCATGAGGCCCTGGGTTCGATTCCTCAGCACCACATAAGCAAAAAAAGAAAAAAGCCAGAAGTGGCGCTGTGGCTCAAATGGTAGAGCACTAGCCTTGAGCTGAGGAGCTGCGGGACAGCGCCCAGGCCCAGAGTTCAGGCCCCATGACCAGATCCCCCCTCAAAAAAAAAAAAAAAATTAAAATTACATTTCAATGGTTTCTAGTGAGTGTGTTCAGAGATACCATCAATTTTAACTAGTGAACTTTAGAACGTTTTCATCCTCAGAATGATGTCTTAGCTAAGGCTTCTTTCCTCAACGCTTGAAGAAGTACAAAGGAACTACTGATCCAGAGTCTGTCTACAGATTTCTAGCCTGCCTTTAACATACTATTAGTTTTCTTGGTACCTAAAAGCCCAAAAATTTTCACTCATAATCATCAGAGTTCAGCAAAATCCTGAGATCATGGTCACACCTACATTATGGCCAAAGATTTTACATGTGCTTTAGTACTTTGCATGGCTACTTTAATAATACTCTACACATGTAGTCAATAGATTTGCGTTGCCCAATAAAACGACAATATCTACACTATTGACATTTTTATACAATTCACATTTCTAGATGTCTAAATATTTTTATTTTATGATCTAACAAAAGAAAGCTGAAAAGATGCTGTTGTAACAGATTGTAAATATATTAAGTATAAAAATAAGCTAATGGGTAAATACCATTGTTTCTGATGAAATATACTAGATAACTAAAGCTATCATTAAGATTTAATGAAATGAAAGCCACATACATCTTTGCTGACAAATTGCCATGAATTTTCAACTTTCAAAAAAAATGCAAACATTCAAACTTTCAATTACTAATACAGAAAAATATGGTTTCCATATTCACAGGCAAGGAGATAAAAAGATTAGATATAGGTCCATCTTCAACCATTCTATAAGAATATCCTATTATACACCCCAACCTCTAAAGATACTAGGTGAAGTAGTCACTCCATTGTCTAATTTTTTAATTGTTTAATAGTGTCTTCTTCAGGAAATTTTGGTCAGTAATAGGAAAAACACTCAAACTAGACTTGAATTAATTTTTAGACACTGAGGAGCAGAAACAGGAATTGAACAAATTTTTAGTGATCCTAAACATTACGTGTTAACACACTTACTTGTTTTCAAATGCGACTGTTATTGAATCTTCATGAACATCCTTTACAAATGCCTGTAAAAAAAGCACAAAAAATTAACTTTTCGATATAAGGACCATTTTCAGTTAAATTTTAGAGGTAATGCCGGATGCAGGTAGCTCACGCCTATAATTCTGACTACTCAGGATGCTGAGATCTGAGGATCGCGGTTCAAAGCCAGCCTGGGCAGGAACAATCATGAGACTCTTATCTGCAATTAAGCACTAGAAAACCAGAATTGGTACTGTGGTTCCAGTGGAAGAATGCTAGCCTTGAGCTGAAGAGCTGAGGGACAGTGCCCAGGCCCAGAGTTCAAGCCACACGACCAACAAAATTTAAAAAAAAAAAATTAGAGATAGTAAACAGTCTATGTTTCAGAATAAAAAGGAACTTTGATTGAAAGTCAGTATCTGAGGTTTGTTCACTCATCATGTCTATATTGTCATATACTGTATGCTAGGCCATAGGAATACAGTTAAAACAACAAGCAAGGAAAAATTGTGAGACTAGCATGTCAAAGAGAAACAAGTACATTGAACATTACAATGCAGTGGTATTAGTTGGAGGTTTCATTTTAGGCTACAAATATTAAAAACTAGGAAACCTGTTACAGAACCATATGTCAGTATAGATTTGTGATAACTTTTCCATAAATGCAGTTCCTTCTATCCTATTGTCTTTCCCCTCTTTTCACCTAGCTATTTACTATTGTACTTAAACTTTAAGATTTCAGTTCAGATGTCATTTTCTATAGAAATATCCAGAAGAACAAGCAGGTTAAACACTATCCTCTGCATTCTTGTGGAATCCTGTTCTTATTCATATATTTATTACATTTTCTCCTTTGCCAATAAGCTTCCTGAGGGTAGTTTAACCATATCATTTTATTCAGTTATCTTCCAGAGAACTTAGTATCATATACAATGACCAGTTAAGTGTCCTGTTACCCTGGAGAAAATGCCTGTGTGAGTGGTAGTAGTTGGATGAAAGAAGATATATTAAAGGTGAGGTTTCCCTTAACCTTAAAGGGTAAAGTGGAATTGGCCAAAATAAAGGACATGGAGAACAATGGTGGAGAAAGTGAGGTATTCCACCAAGGTGAGAAGCGTCCAGAAGAGAACTTAGACTGAGAAGCAGCTTAGAATATGACAGAGATAAACTTTTTGTCATTAAGAAAACCAAGACAAATCAAATGGCACAAGAGTAGTGTTTTCAACAAATGCTGTGGGAATAGTTGCACATTCACATGCAAAACATTAAACTGACATTTATCTCATACCATACAAGAATCAACAAAATGCACTGGAATCCTAAATAAATATAACAGATATAAAATTCTTAGAAAATATAGTAGGTCCTCACAATTTTGGATACATGTTACTGGAAAATAATGAATTGGGATTAAGAATCATCTTTGACTTCTGTAGCTTCAGCAATTGGCACAATTTCTAGTTATTATGGGTGTAGAATAAGTGTTTTAAGCAAGCAAATGTTTGAGTGCAAAAGGATTATTTGATTGTTTGCTTTTGGGCAGTACTGGTTGTAAACGCAGAGCCTTGTATTTGCTAGGTGAAGACTCTATCAAGTGAATCACAGTTGTTCCTTTTTTTGCATAAGGTACCTTTTCAGACAAGGTCTTTGGCTGGAAAATAGAACCGTGGATCACAATAGCTAGGATAACAAGTATATACCTCTCACAAATTGTCTGCCACGGTAGCCTTGAACCACAATTTTCCTGATTTCCATCTTCCAAGGAATTAGGATTACAGGCGTAAACCACTACAGTCACTGCGAAAAGATCTTTTAAAGACTCTCAAACATCTATTACAGCATATGAATCAAATATTAAATAACTGCTTTAAAAAAATTAGAGAAGCTAAGGCAGGGCTCTGGGAAAAACAGTTAATATGGAAACAACTTAACAGAAACATCAAGCTCTATCAATTATGCTTGACTGAAAAAAAGTTATACTAGAAGAAAAACTTGTCTTGAAAGAAATATACTATGGTTAAAATATTAAATGTTTCCCACAAGGCACCTGGTAGTAGTACTATTGCAGGAGGTTCTAGAAACTTAAGTTGGTGGGGACTAGCCAGAGAAGTAGGTCACTGGTGGTGTGTCCTTGGGGGCTAATACCTTGTCTGTGGCCATTTCCTGTCTCCCTTTCTTGCTGGCTCCCATGAGGTAAGAAACTTTGTTCAGCCACAAGCTCTTGCTGGCATGTTCTGCTTCATCACAGGCCTACAGCAATGGAGTAAGCCTGCCATGGAATAAAACCTTTGAAACCACGAATCAAAATAAAATGTCCTCCTTTTAAGTCATTCTCTGGCATTATTTGTCAAAGCAAAGAAAAACCTAACACACAGAAAACTGGTACCACTGAAGTTGGGGTTTTTGCGTTTTATGTGATTCAGAAGTCTTTTGAACTGGTCTGGGATAAGAATTTGGGAAAGGCTGGAGATACAGACTAAAAAAGTCCTAGAACGCTGTAAGCAGAGCTTAATGGGTGATTGTAGTGTGAGCTCAGAGAAACAGAAAGCGAATAGGAATGAATGCAAATAATGAAATCCAGTTTCATGAGGTTTCATATAGGAAGGAGGAACTGGGAACTGAGAGGTTATTTACCTTATATCCTGGCTAAGAATTTGTCTACATTTTGTTCCTGCCCTAAGACCTTGTAGGGGCTGAGTTTTAAAGATGTTAGACTAATCTGATCATGGAAATTTCAAGGCACTCTGACAGCTGGCATGAGTACTGATGGCTGCTTTTAGCAGGTTCGTAATGTGAATTGGGAGCAAACAGCAGAGGAGGAAGATTTTTTTAAAAGGACAATACTTAAAGTTGAGGCTAGGGGACCAGGCATAGTGCCTAGGTCACACATGTGCCCTAGCTACTCAGGGGAATGGAGACAAGAGGACAGCAATTCAACTAGCCTGGGAAAAGTTAGTGAGAACATATCTTAGAAACCAACTAAAAAAGACTACAGTGTGGCTCAAGTGATAAAGAGTTTTTACCTAACAAATAGAAGACCCTGGAAAGAAAATTAAGGCTAAACGCAGTTTGGGAAATTAGTACCAATGAAAAGAGGCCAAGTCACCAGGCATGGTGGCTGACGCCTGTAATCCTAGGTTCTTGTGAGGCTGAGATTGAGCATGTCACAATTTGAAGCCAGCACAGTTAAATACTTCCTGAGTTTCAGTCTCAACCAAAAGAAAAGCTGCCAGTCATCTCAACTGCCATAGGGAGCATAAATAGGAGGACTGAGGTACAGGCAGATCTGAACCAAAAGCAAGATTTAAAACAATCCAAGCAAAAAGAGATGGAAACATGGCTTTGATGCCTGCCTAGCAAGTGCAAGGCCCTGAGTTCAAAACCCTAGCACCAGGGCTGAGAGTGGGTGTCTCAAGTAATAAGAGCACTTTACTAACAAGCAAAGCTCTGAGTTCTAACCCGAGTACCACAAAGAATTACTTTTAAAAGGAAGCCAAGTACTCTGTACTGAGACCATTGAAAAGATAACTTGTAAACTCTTTTGTAATGAAGCAAGCTTCCCAAGCCTTTCCCTTGAGAAGAGAGCAAGTGCAGGGGATCCTGTTCACACATGACCCAACTATTTTTCCTCAGGATTCATTTCAACATCCTCAGTCACCTAGACACTCATAGGCTGCTTCAATGGTCACCCAAATAGGCATAGGTACCACTGGAGACGGTAACAGACTTTGGTATGGTCCATGTGATGCTGGTATTGCAAGCACGCAAAACGCAAGAGTTGGGTAATGGAGGCTTCTACTCAGATTTCAAAGAAAAGCACTGGCAGCCCAGCAGGCAAGGTGAGGCAGGGTTGGAATACCTTCAGGGACCATCTGAGGGTGGTGCATGAAACTGTGTGAGTAAAACTGGTGATGCAATGGAGAGCCCAGGACAGTGGAGATTCAAAATATATGGAATGACCAGGAGGGAAAGCTACAGACAGGAAAACAAAGAAGGCCAGAGAGAGATTATGGGGACTGCAGCTATCTTCAAACTCTTAGGTACTAACAACATCATGTGCCCTAGATACTGGACATGGAGCTAATGGACTTAATGCTGTCCTTCAGTCTTGCTTTGGTTGCAACACCTTCTATGCTTCCATTCTTCCCTTTTGGTTTAGAAATGTTTGCACTCTGTGCCACTGTATCACTGATAGATTGATTTTGACTGAAATGGGTTTCAAACTCAGTGCCTCATGCTTGCTAGGAAGAAGCTATAACACTTGAACCATGTTCCCAGACTTGTTCCAGGTTTCTGAAACTAGGCCTCTACACATTGTAGCCAAGACTGCTGTCAAATTTGCTTCCCTCTGTCTCGATTCTCTGAGTATTACCGTGCCCAGCATAAAATACAATTGAAAAAACAAATACAACTGAGTTGGTACTAAAAAAAAAAATCACATTTTTACATTTCTGAGTATTTACTCAATATAACATTGGTTAAAGCAATGACTTAGCCAAACAAAAGTTATTTCACAGATCCTTTTAATGAACAGTATTACATCCTCGAGAGAATATGTCTTCAACTAGTGGTATAATTTTCTTTGATTTTACATAGGCTTATGCTGACAGTTTGCCCTGAGCTTGGAGGAAAGTTTTTAAACAATGTTGGAACTGCTAGCCCTCTGGGAGATTAAACGCATTTTAGAGATGGACATGAATCTCTTGGTTTCAAGGACCAAACATTATGCTTAAATATGAAATGTGTCCCAAAGGCTCATCAGTTGAACTTGATCCCCAGTTAGTGGTGCTTCTTATAGGAGGGGCTAGAAATTTAGTTGGTGGGGTCTAGCTAGAGGAAATAAGTAGGTCACTGGGGGCATAACCTGGGGGCTATACCTATCTTTGGTCACCTCCTGTGACCCTCCCTTCCTCCATTTCCCTCTCTCTCCTCCTCACCCCTCCCTCTGTGCTTTCTGGCTGTGGTTAAGGTAAGCAACTTTGCTCAGCCACACACAGGCCAACATCAATGGAGCAGGCTAACCATGAACTGGAATTGTAAACCA